TTTTTCCTGGATGAATAGGCCACCAGTTCAAGTCTCCTTGGTGGCTGCTCTGCCAGGCCTGTCTTCTGAGACACTTCTGGGTAGCACTTAAACTGCAACCTTCCCGTCGACAGCCCAGGGCTGTTAGCCATGTGCACGCCCAGACCCCGCGTGCACAGGAGCCTGTGATGCATCTTCCTTGGCCCTGTTTACAGCCCGTCAGTCAGCATGAGGGGCTAGGTGTTTATGTGGCCGGAATAATGAGGGGCTTCTTGCGGCTGTTGCTGGTGTCATTATTTTGTTTGCCTTGCTTTGTTTTGACTGCCCTGCCCTCCTGGTTCTCCCGAACAGGAGCGAGTGAGAAAGTGCCTGCAGAGGCGGGCATTTGGGACAGCTCCTTTGAATTGCTGGAAGCTTCAGTGACCTCACCAGTTTTTCTGTTTCGTTTCCCGTGGGCGTTTTCAGAAAGCAGTACCGGAAGGTCCTTTGCTGCGTGGTGGTCATCCAGAAGAATTTCAGGGCCTTCCTCCTGAGGAGGCGGTTCCTGCACCTGAGGAGGGCGGCCATCATTCTGCAGAAGCAGCTCCGAGGCCAGGTGGCGAGGAAGGCCTTCAGGCAGCTGCTGGCCGAGAAGCGGGAGCAGGAGGAGCGGAGGAAGCGCCAGGAGGAGGAGGAGAGGTACCGTCCATCGTTGCCTGGGCGACTCGGAAGGGGATGCCCTGTGAATTGGAGGCTCGGTTGCTAGCCAGGCGTCAGCAGCTCCCAGTCAATGCAGTCCAACCCACGGTTTGAAGCGCCTTACTCGCAGTGCTGGGTGCCTTGAATGCCAAGTGTCTCGGCAGCATTGGCGACACAGCCTGGGCTGTGTTCCCACAGGCGGGGGTGCATCACAAGGTCCAAGGGAGAATGCTGTTCTCTTTTCTTCCCACTTTTCCATGGGCCTCTTAAAGCCCGCCCCCCCCCCTGCCCCCCTCCAACTTGGACGTGTGCACAGGATTTACGCAAGGCTGGGAGCCGGGCCCCTTCAGCCAAGCATTGTATGCAATGTGCTGGCCCTCACAAGGAGCTGCTGTTGATTTCCACTTCCCGTTTGCCTTCCTGTGTTTCAGAGAGCGAGAGAGAGCGCGCAGGGAAGCCGAGGTCCGAGCCCAGCAGGTGAACAGCGTGCCTTGACCGCCAGGCCCCTCCTTGTTACGTGACCTTCACCATTCAGAGCGCTGAAAGCGGCTCATTTCCCTGGGCTGGCCACCGAAAGGCTGCGGGCACAGGACCACCCAGCGGCATGGCGGAAGACAGGCCGGGTGCCCTGTGCTTGGGGACTCGGTGCTTGAAACCCAGCAGCTCCCACTTCTCCTCGGGCAGGCTGGGGGTCCCGTTTCAAACGCTCTGCCTCGAGGATTCAGAACTAAGAGGGCTTGCGAGGTGGTGTTAACAATGAAATTCCTATCCTGTGCCAATTGGCCTCTGGCCAGGGTCTCAGAGGTGTTGGGGGGGGCGGGGCGGTAGTCTCTCATTTGACGTGGCTGCACATCCACGTGGCTCACGGCCCCAGTATATCTTCTTGGTGGTCAAGGTTTGCACTTGTCTGCTAGCTACGGAGCCCTTGTGGCACAGGGGGCTAGGCATGGGCTGCTAACCTCAAGGATGACGGTTCAAGCCCGTTAGCGGCTCCTCAGGAGAGACATGAGATTGACTACTCCCATCAAGGTAGAACGGTCCCAGGAACCCTGTGGAGCAGGGTTGGGTGGCTTTGAGTTGGAAATAAGATTCGTTGGCTGGGGATTGGGATTTGGGCTCACAGAGATCCCTGGTGGCCACCAGGTAAGTATTGGACTGCTGACCACAGGGTTGGCAGTTGAAATCCTTTAGCCACTCTGAGGGGGGAAGAGGAGGCTTATCTGCCCTAAAGGGCGGCTGTGAGTTGGCATGGACTCGATGGCAGTGGGTTTTAAAAGGCTGGCGGTGCAGACCCACCAGCAGCACAGAGCAAGAAAGGCCTGGCTGTCCACAAAAAGATAGTGGCCAGGAAACCCCTTGGGGAATGAGGGTTTCCCTTCACGGTGGTGGCCACAGTGACCCCCTCTCACGCGCCCCTGCTTTCCTGTCCAGGAGGAAGAGGCGCGGAAGCAGCGGGAGCTGGCCGCCTGGCAGCAGCGCCGGGAGCTGGAGAAGCAGAAGGAGAACAAGCAGGTGGAGGAGATCCTGCGGCTGGAGAAGGAGATCGAGGACCTGCAGCGCATGAAGGAGCAGCAGGAGCTGTCGCTGACCGAGGCCTCCCTGCAGAAGCTGCAGCAGCTGCGTGACGAGGAGCTGCGGCGGCTGGAGGACGAGGCCTGCCGGGCCGCCCAGGAGTTCCTGGAATCGCTCCACTTCGACGAGATCGACGCGTGCGTGCGCGACATCGAGCGCTCGCTCTCCGAGGGCGGTGGCGGCGAGCCGGGCGCGGGCGGCGACGGGCCCTGCTTCAACTTCAGCCAGCCGTACCCCGAGGAGGAGGTGGACGAGGGCTTCGAGGCAGACGACGACGCCTTCAAGGACTCCCCCAACCCCAGCGAGCACGGCCACTCGGACCAGAGGACCAGCGGCATCCGGACCAGCGACGAGTCGTCCGAGGAGGACCCATACATGAACGACACCATGGTCCCCGGCCGTCCTGCCCCGCATGGCCCCGCCCCATTGGCCCCACCCCCTGCGGACACTGTCAGCCTGCAGCCCTCTTCCAGCGAGGGCTCCACCTACTGCCTCCCCCAGACCCCCGGGGACCTGCCCTCCCCGGACAGGGACTGCCACTACGACCAGGATGATTACGAGGACGGCGCTGTCACTTCCAGCAGCAGCCAGTGGTCCCCAGACTACCGCTGCTCCGTGGGCACCTACACCAGTTCCGGGGCGTACCGCTTCAGCTCAGAAGGTGCCCAGTCCTCTGTGAGTACCTGGGACCAGGCTGTCCTGCTGCTCGTGGTGACCCTGCATGTCACAGCATAACTGCTCCATAAAGGGTGGCGGGGGGGTTGCTGTCATCTTCAGACAGGAGCCCTGGTAGCGCAGTGGTTGAGTATTCCCAAGGGTCAGCAGTGGGAGCTCACCAGCATCACTGTTGTAGGAGCGGAGCCCTGGCAATCTATCATAAAGGGGGCAGCGATGCCCTGCCCTGTAGATAGGGCACCCACAAGCAGCAGTCCTTAGGAAGCAGCCCACCCGGGCGGCTTTCCCCGGCAACCAGGGCTGGGTTTGACCAGCAGCCAGCTGCAGGTCAGTGTGCTACAGTGAGGTGGGACCTTCCATAGGCCACACCCCACGGCAGTGATTTCCAAGACACACAGACTCAGGGATAATCCCGAGCATGGTTCTCTTTCCAGAAGCAGTTGCTTTAGTCAGGGGCCCTTTGGTGTGCATTGTGTGTGTGGAGCACAAAAGACCAGGAGGGAAGGGCGCCCCGGCCTGAGAACGGCATCTGCCTGAGAACGGCCGTGGTCGGGACTGGGCGAGCACGGCAGCCGGTGAGGAAAACAGAGACCTCACTGGGGCTGGAACTGCCCAGGGACACTGGAGTCCAGGAACTCAGCCCTCCACGCTTGGATGTGCTTTCTTGTCCCGGTGGGGAAAGAGGAGGCTCGGGCTTCAACACACTTTTCCTAGTTGCCGGGTTATTTTGTTTGCTTTTGCTTTTCCTCTGTGGTTGCAAGGTATCTGCTCCCCAACTCTCTAAGGAAGCTGCTGGGGTGCAGTGAACACATCTGGCTGCTAATCACGGAAAGGCTGCCGGCTGGGGTGCACCCGAAAGTGCCTCGGAAGGAAGGCCTGATGATCTTCCCGCCCCTCCCCCCCAAAATTCCAAAAGACCCCAAACCAAACTCCCTGCCTTCCCATCAAACCAGCTCACAGTGACCCTGGAGGACAGGGTAGAGCTGCACCTGTGGGTTACCGAGGCCGTAACTCCACGGGAACAGAAAGCTTCCTCTGTCTCCTGAGGAGCAGCTGGTGGGGTTGAACCCCCAACCTTGCAGTTTGCAGCCTAACATACATACCACCGGGCCTCCTTACTTCCCAGATCTGCCTCTGATAACCAGGTGGGCACAGCTGTGCCCTGATCCATTGAAGTTGCCGTGCATCAGCAGCTGCACTGCTGGCTTTGTGAGGCAGATTCGTAGCCAGGGCATGCAGAAGGAATCAGTCCACTCTTGCCGGGTTGGGGCAGAACTACAGGGTGAGGCAGAAAGTGGGTGGTCTCGTTTTCTGCTTCATTTGGGATAGAGAACCTTGGGGGTGCTGTCTATGTTGTGTTTCGCGTCTCCAGTCACAGACCATCGAACCTTAGAAAGTTACCCTCCTGGAATTCTTAGCCCCTCTGCGCTGTGATGAATCAGGAGTCTTGCAGGCTAGGTTGTGTGGGCTGGACCGCTCCGTGGTTCTCCTGGTCAGCTGACAACCACTCTCTCTGCCTCCCCGTCCAGTTTGAAGACAGTGAAGAGGACTTCGACTCTCGGTTTGACACAGATGACGAGCTCTCCTACCGGCGGGACTCTGTGTACAGCTGCGTCACACTGCCTTACTTCCACAGCTTCCTGTACATGAAAGGTACTGCCTGTCCCACCAAGGAGCCTGGGGCAGGGAGGGGCAATGCAGGTGGAGACCTCTCTCTCCCTGGCCAAAGGGGACCTCGAGCATCGCCCCAGACGCCCCTTGGCTCTAGGTCAGGTGCCCTTAGGTGGGTAGAGGTCCAGCCATCCCATAAAGTATGATAGCTTTTCTGCTCCGGGGTGACGCGAAGCGTCAAGGGCCAGATTCGCCACCACTGGCAAATTCCAGGGCCCCTGGTGGCACAGTGGCTACTTGCTCGACTGCCAACCAAAGGGGGTTCATGGCTCGAACTCACTAGCCACACCGAGGGAGAAAGATGTGGTCAGTTATGAGGTGTGTTAGTCTGGGTAGACTAGAGAAACAAATTCATAAACATGCATGTCTATAAGAGAGAGGTTTATATACAAGAGGAATTGAACATTCAGAAAACATCCCAACCCAGTCCAGTCCAAGGCCATAAGTCTGATATTAGCCCATATGTCCGATACCAATCTATAAAGTCCTCTTCAGACTCAGGAAACACATGCAATGACCCCAAATGCAGGACGATCACAAGCCAGTGGGTAGAAAGTCTTTGGATCCAGTGGCATTGTAAACATCTCAGCGCTGGCAGGGGTCTCTCTGTGGCTTCTCCGGCTTCCGAGGTCTGGTTGCTTCCATGTGGTTTGTCTTCTGCAATGTCTCCCAGGGAGTAGCAGAGAGAGAGAAGTGTCTTACGCCTCCAAGGAGGAAGATACTGGATTTCCCAGAATTCTCAGGAGAAGACCATGCCCACACAGAGGCCTCACCTCATTGGCTATGATCTGATTGACAGGCTAGAAGCCACCCCTACATTCTTAATCCTCAATTATATAACTACCACACAAGGACAGCCCTGGACCCGCTGGGGCTGGTTTGCCCTGTCTTGCAGCGCCTTTGGGAATCTGAATCACCCCTCTGCGCCTTCCTTCCTGGCTTCTTTCCGTCACCAAGTTCCTGTTTTCCAGGGACTGATCCTTCCTCTTTATTTCCAGCGTCCGCATTCCAAGTGCCAGCAATTACCAGTGCACCTCGAGTGCGTGTTTGGTCAACATCATGGAGTCCTTCAACATCTTCCTCACTAGCTTTTTTGTTTGCTGCATAAACTTCCATAATCGTTGTGCTGGGTAGATTTCCTTGAGAGAGAATCCTATCACAGACGGCATTGTACCTCAAGGAATATCTTGAAATGTCCTTTCTCAGGGCAGATGCCATCCCAGGCCTCTTGATTGTGTCATCCCCGGCTCGGTGAGCCGTGTGGTTTTCTGATTCAGCATGGCCAGCCCCAGCCCGTTTCAGCTCACTCGCGCCAAGGAAGCCGATCTCTATGTTCCGTTTCATGTTTGCTGACTTCCAGCTTTCGTATATACTTCGCATGTGCCAGGTTCTAATTATTAGTAGATTTTTGCAGCTGTTTCCTCATTTTGAGTCATGCACCATCAGCAAATGAAGGTCCCAAAGCTTTCCTGCATTCCTGTCATTCTGTTCGCCTCTGCTATGAGAAGGCAGCTCTTGCTTGGTTGTGCGTTGAGTGCCTTCTGATCTGAGGGATTCACCTTCCACCTCTGCTTTTATTTTTGAAGTGGTCAGTTCTGACGATGTTTCCGTGCTATCCAGGAGGTTTACAGCACCTCATTCCTCCGAGATGGACAGCCTCTTGCTTCTTCGCAGGCTGTTGTAGTCTGGAAGCTTTGCTGGTATTTCACTCTGGTGAGCCTCCTGGTTTTGTAAACGCTAGTGAAGTTTCTTCAAGCGTGCGCCCACGTAATTGTTCGGTCATTTATCTTTAGGTTCTAATATCCGTTGCTAAGCAGAACTCATGAATAAAGAAAGGGTTCATTATGGAAGTTAACAAGTTTTCATGCCCTGAGAGATGCTCAGTTGAGTTGTTTATTGAGACATGTTACAGAGTTTCAGGTCCACCAATCCGGGTCTGTTTCTCTCAGCCAGTGTGCCATTTCCTTGTAATACATTCCTGTTCGGTTCTCACTTATCAGCAGTCACCATGCGTTCTGGCGGGCACTGAAACCATCCAAGCCAAACTCACTGCCATCGAGTCAGTTCTGACAGCAACCCTGTAGGACGGTGGAACTACTCCTTTGAGTTTCCGAGACAGTAACTCTTTACCGGAGTGGAAAACCCTGTCTTTCTCCCTCGGAGCAGCTGGTGGTTGTACCTACCCACTCAACATGTAACCACTGTGCCACCAGGGCTGCTGGAACAATCTAGGCCGCTGCAAGAGCTGCGACTACACTGACTACACTTTATCCCTCACTGCAGGCTCTAGTACAGATAAACGGATGGGGGTGCAGTGAATTTTTTCCTTAAAGGGGATGGTAGGCCATGTAAATTTGGGAGCCTTATGGGTTAGAGGATCAGTAATTTGCTGGTCCCTCCAGTTGGCTCATCACAGAATGCAGGAGGCAGGGACAGCATTCCAGGAAAGCTCCTGGAATCCCCATTCCCAGTACAAGCCAGTGTGTCGCCCACGCTCAAGGGCAGGTCTAGGGGCTGAGTTGAAGAGCTTTCCAGGACAATGCCCTCGCCCTGTTTGACTGACCTGCCTTCACCCCCTCTCTGCCCGGCCCTGCTCCCAGGTGGCCTGATGAACTCCTGGAAGCGCCGCTGGTGCGTCCTCAAGGACGAGACCTTCCTGTGGTTCCGCTCCAAGCAGGAGGCCCTCAAGCAAGGCTGGCTGCACAAGAAGGGCGGGGGCTCGTCCACGCTGTCCCGCAGGAACTGGAAGCGACGCTGGTTTGTGCTCCGTCAGTCCAAGCTGATGTACTTTGAAAACGACAGCGAGGAGAAGCTCAAGGGCACCGTGGAAGTCCGGACGGCCACGTGCGTGGACCCCTATGGCGGGGTGGGGCAGGGTGGCGGGCTTGGACAGAGTGCTTTATTGCTGCTCTTGCTAAGAGTTGGCATTGACTCTGGGCAACCTGGCTTTGGCGGTCGGTTTGGTTCCTTTATGAAAGCCATCATGACCTGATGCTAACGGTCTCCCTTGTCTGGGTGATGTCTTTGCCCTGCTTAAGACATAGTAAGAGAGCTCTGTGTTCCTGGTCTGTATTTGATGCTTTGTTCCCTTGCAGCGAGATCGTGGACAACACCAGCAAAGAGAACGGCATCGATATCATCCTGGCTGACAGGACCTTCCACCTGATCGCCGAGTCTCCGGAAGATGCCAGGTGAGGGGCCTGTGTGTCCTCCCACTGATGTTCCAGGAAAGCTGGGCATTTCTCTCAGGGTGGATGAAGCACCAAAGGTTCTGCGAGGCTTACGGGCAGAAGCGTTCAAGGACAGCTCGTGGTTTGGGTTTTCTTCCTCACGTGCCCTTGTTGCTGTTTGTAACTGAGTTGGTTACAACTCATCGCGACCCTGTGTACAAAAGAAGCACACACCGTCCGGTCCTCACCACTCCCACCTTCACTAATGGAGCACCCGGGAAATAACACGCAAACTTAAGGAGAATTGCTTTTCCCTATTAAGTGAGATGTCTGCAACAGGTCGCTGGTGGCACAGTGGGTTATATGTTAGACTGTGAACTCTAAGGTCAGCAGTTCAAATCCATCAGCCACTCCTGAGAAGGAAGATGAGGGTTTCTGCTCCTGTAAAGCTTTACAGCCTTTGGAATCCACCAGGGGCAGTTCTTCTCTGTCCTGTGGAGTCACTGTGCATTGAAATTGGCTCAGTGGCATTGAGCTTGGTTTTCATTCGCTGAGATCATCTGAACTCTGGTGCTGGTAAAGACTGGACTCTGCTGGGGACTGCCAGGACTAGCACGTCCTGGAAAGAGCACAGCCAGTATGCACCGTAGAACCAAGCTGGCGAGACTCTTTGGACAAGTTGTCAGCAGAGACCAGGCCCCGGGGCAAAGGCCCTTCTGCCTAGTAAAGTGGGGGGCAGCCGACAGAAGGAAGAAACCTCAGCGAGATGGACTAACACAGTGACCACAGCTCTGGACGCAAACAAGGAGGATGTGCAGGACAGGACAAGGCTTTATTCTGCTGGATGAGGGGAAATGTTCCCTAATCTGTGTTGAGTCCCATGCATACGGTCGTTCTGCATCAGAACTGACTGGACAGTGCCTCGCAGCGTTCAGTAGGAAGCGCCCGCTCACACAGTAGTTGCAGGATGGGGGCGAGGCTGTGCTGCTTTGGGGGCTGTGCAGGGTGATGATGCGTGTAGCTGTCCTCCCCTCAGTGCTCACCAGGGGTCAGCCTTCTAGCTTCCATGGGTGACATCATCTGGCCCGAATGCCTCCCTGAGACCATTAGACCATCTTAGCCGCTATGGGTGGTGCCAATAGTTGACACAGTCCCTGCAGACTGAAAAATTGAAGGTTCAAGTCCCCCAGAAGCACCTCAGAAACAAGGCCTAGGTTTCTACTGTAAACCTCCTGGGGCACAGTTGTACCCTGGCCCAAGGGGGCGACCCTGCATCCTTGGACTCGACAGCCCTGCATAGTGTCATTGGCTGTCATGGGCTCTCAGAGCTGCCTACTGCCATCTGCCCTTGCCATGGGCCTCTGGGGAGAGGCAGCCCTGCAAGGAAGCTTTAGGGGCAAAGACCATGCAAAACACAGCTGACCCATAAGCGGCATGGGTTTAGACTCTAAGGATCGACCTACAGGACCGGGTTTAAAAACTATAAAACACTTCATGTGAAGCTAATCATGTCACGTGAGCAGTTCGCCCCCAGTAAATTGCATCTTTGGGTGAAAGGGCATCTTGCGGTTCTCATGCATTGGTCACCATATTTAAAGCAGTTTAGGACGGTAAGACTTGACTGCGATCCAGGCGCCCGTGGTGATGCCTTGCCTCTCCTGGGGAGACGAGAAAGTCATGGCGTCCCATGAAACCCTGCAGGTTGAGGGCTGCCGCTGCGCCAGGAGGCGTGATGTTCTCCCAGCTTGTGTGACACATCTTTGAATCGCTCGTTGGAATGTAGCCGTTATGTGGGAATAGTAGCTAATACTAATGAGCCTGCCTTCGCGGCTTCCAGATGGCCCTGGGAATACCATATCCTAGGTCAGCGGTTCTCAACCTGTGGGTCGAAACCCCTTTGGGGGTCAAACAACCCTTTCACAGGTTTCCTGATTTCATAGCAGTAGCAAAATTACAGTTATGAAGTAGCAACGAAAATAATTTTATGGTTTGGAGGTCAGCACAACATGAGGAACTGTATTAAAGGGTCGCGGCATTAGGAAGGTTGAGAACCAGTGTCCTCGGTGGTCAGCTCTGGCACTGTGCTTTGAATAGGAGGGGTCGTCTTTGTGGAGCCCAATGATGGGACACGCCAGGTTCTTGTATGCCCCACATCAGAGCACCTACCTCCCACTTCTCCCAAGTCCAAGGGTCAACTGTAATCCTCCTCATGGGAACAGACAAAGACCTTTGTTGGATCCATCAATTATAGCAAACCAGGAAAACAAGCAAACTCGGAATTATAGCCTCCTCATCCCCTGGGGACTCGAGACCGCGTGTGGTGGGGTGCTCTGCAGCCTAGGCAACGCCTCATCGTCTCCGGGAAATGACAGCCCTGCCGCTTGGCAGCCACCAGCCTAATGCCAGGAGGAACCTGATAGAGTTCAAGTTCACCGTGGTTTAGCCACTGACTTTTCTTGACCATTGGGGCGCATCTACCCAAGTCCCCCTCAGACTCCAAGTGACTGCTCTTGACTCAGAAGAGATGCATACATGTTCAGGGCCATCCTCTGTCTAGCTAGAAGACGCCCTGGGTCATGTGCCCTCTGTGTGGCTCAGGCGTGGCCCGCCCTTGGGTGCGTGCACGCTCCAGCATTTGATGAGGTTGTGCATGAGCTCAGGAAGCTAGAACTGAGGGGGCCCATGCCACTCGGGCGACGGCCCGGATCTCCCTGGGCCTCTGGCTGTGTTGCGTGGCTTCAAGCGCGTGTCCTTCGGCCATCACTGCAGATGAGATTCCCTCGCGGTGTGGCTTGTCTCCATCCCTGGTGATCTCTCTCCACTTCAGTGCGGTGTCATGTGGATTCCAACTCCTGGTGGCCCCGTGGGACAGACAGAACTGCCCACAGGGTCCAGAGGAGGTGCCCTTTCCACAGTGTGCGGGAAGCTTGGTGCCGCTGTCACGTGAGCCCAGGGCTGGCTGTTCTGACCTGCGTTCTTCTCTCCCACAGCCAGTGGTTCAGTGTACTGAGCCAGGTCCACGCGTCCACGGACCAGGAGATCCGCGAGATGCATGATGAGCAGGCGAACCCACAGAATGCCGTGGTGAGCGAGGGGCATGGAGCACGATGGGGAAGGGACCTGAGTGGTAATGTTTAAGTAGCTCTTTTAAAGTTAAACTAGTATACCAAGTATTTAGTAAAATCAATCAAAGGCTCCCTGGCTATGTGCAGGCTGAGCACTTGGCTGCTAACTGTAAGGTCAGCGGTTCAAACCCACCATGACCTGCTCCAGGGGACGGCCTGGAAACCTTACGGGCAGTGCTTCTCTGTCCTATGGGGTCGCAATGAGTCAGCTTCAATGGGCCGGAACCTAGCGCTCAAACCAAACCCTCTTCCAGCGAAGCAGCTCGGACTCCTAGGGACCCTGTAGGACAGGGTAAAACTGGGGACTCTACAGGAGTAGAAAGCCAGGTCTTCCTCCCCTGGAGCAGCTGGGGGTTCGAACTGCTGACCTTGCTGTTAGTAGCCCAACACATAACCACTACACCACCGGGCTCTTCGCAATAAGTGAAGTGTGTGGTACAGTGGAAGGTGGGCGGCCAGTGAGGGAAATGCAGTGAGGTGGGGTGGCGTAGCAGCCACTATGGTGGTCTGAAATCAGTGGTGGTGACGATGACACAAGACCAGGGGCCAGGCCCGACAGCTGAGGAGACGGTAGCCAGCAACACGACAGTTAGAGAGGAAAGGGAGTACATTTTGAGAGAGAAATGAAATGTGGAATTGCAGAAACACTGTATACTACTGTTTCCCAAGGATCCAGTGACTTCTAAAGCCTGTCCCTTCCGCCTTCACTCAATCCCAGAAACAGAGTCAGTCATAAAACGTGCCTGAGCAATTCTGGTGTGGTTCCCTTGTCCGTCAGCACTGTGTCTGAGATGAGGGCGTGGTGGGGAAAGGTGAGCTCAGACACGCACATCCACCCTCTGCTCCTAAGATACCGTAAGAACAAAGGTAAATGTAAGCGTATAAATACATATATTTATAAGTTAATGAACAATAGATACTACCAGTCCCACAGACTGGTTGCCCTGTGGTCACTAGGTGAGGGGTCCTTTTTTGATGTACCGTCACAGCCTTCTCTGCTGGCTTATGTAGGGCATTGTCGTGTAAGGCTATTATCACCGCTAGTGTGTGTGTATTTTTTCCCCCCTAAAGGTGAGATGTATTTTGGGGTAACATCATTTATACTGCACATTTTCAAATCGAGTGACATCAGAAAGCAAAAATGGTATCCCTCAACCTAGACATAAATAAGGTTTTAAGTTTTTCTTCTTAAATCTCGACACATGTATGCTTAGCACCAGCATCCACAATGAACAGATCAGGGGAAGCGTTTGCTGTATATTCCAGAATTCTGTGCTTGGACCACAGCTGACACACAAGCACTCCGATTCTGACTCTGCCCTTCGCTGCTTTCCAGGGCACGTTGGACGTGGGGCTGATAGATTCTGTGTGCGCCTCGGACAGTCCCGATAGGTAAGCTCAAGTGTGGGCGGCTTGCACCGAAGTAGCTGGTTACCTCTGTGCACAAATGCAAGGAGCCTTGCTGGGGTAGTGGGCCATGCATTGGGCTGCCAACGGCAAGGCCAACAGTTCAAAACCACCAGCCGCTCCATGAGAGCAAAAGAAGGCTTTCCACTCCCGGAAGGAGTAACGGTCTTGGGAACCCACAAGGGAAGTTTTGCCCTGTCCTGTAGGGTCATGATGAGTCGGCCTCCACGCGATGGCCGTGAGTGGGCCGTGTTCATCCTGATGGTGGCTGTGAAATGACCAAAGGCTGCATGTCTCTTCTGGTCAGTCCGAGTGGCCCCAAGGGCCCAGTGTTACACCACCTGTAAGTCTCTCCCTCCGGGTCTCAGTAAGAACCTCAGGGAGACAGTTTCGGGAAAATGCGAGAGAGACCACCTCGTTCGCTTGGACACATGGGCAACCCTGAGATTTGAACTGGAGAAGGATGCCTGCCTGGGGCCCTATAGTCCACCACCTTGAGCCTGGTGAACTGGACACGATGTGGAGGGCGTTTGGTGCTACTTGTGCCACCCCTGCACAGCAGCCTGTGCTTGGCCTTGTTGCTGCCAGTGTGGCATGCGAGTGGATCCGGGCTCAGTAGTCAGGCAGCGTTGCCGTTCATGTCTCCGTGCAGCTTCGAGATGCTGGAGCTCTGTTTCTGGCCTCCAGCAGTTGTTGCTCTGGAACCAGAATGATCCTCAAAATGGCCTTCCATCTTCCACAAGACGCTTTACAACAGCCACCGTGAGACAGAGCTAGGGAGGCAGTGTTGATTCCAGGATGCAGTGCTCACTGCAGGTTGGACTCCCGGCCGAGGCACTGCTGAACCTGTCTCAGTGGAGGCCAGGGTTGGGCTGTGATGCTGAACAGGTTTCCACCACAGAGGCTTCCCATGGCTGCTCTTGGATAGGGAACCTTCCACTACCTTGAACTTCAACAGTAGTTACAGTGAGCTGTCGAAGGCTTGCAAGGGGTCTCATGCTGTTGCTCTTAAGTGTGAAGATGAAAGCTCTTAATGAAAGGTTTAGGTTAGAAACATGGGCCTGTGAGGGGGTCCAGAGCCCTGGTGGTGCAGCGGGTTAACATTGGGCTTCTAACGACAAGGTCCGTGATTCAAACCCACCAGCTGCTGCCCAGCAGAAAAGAGGTGAGACTGTCTGTCCCCATAAGGACTTACGGTCTTGGAAATCCTAAGGAGTGCATCTGCTCTGTTCTATGGTGTTGCTGTGAGTTGGAAACTATTCAGTGGCTATGGATTTGGGGGTTGAAAGGATTCGAGAAGCCCTAATGACACAAAGGTTAAGTGCATGATGACTAACCAAAGATGGGCACTTCAAACCCACCAGCTGCTCCATAGGAGAAAGACGGTGATCTGACTGTACCATGATCCCAAATGTCCAGTAGATCCCTACTCTTAGCAACAGTGTAAGGGTAGGACAGCCCTGTTCGTTTCCAAGGCTGTAACTCTTAACAGAGTAGAAAACCTCCCTTTTCTCTCTAAAAGAGTGGCTGATGGTTTCGAACTGCTGACCTTGCAATTAGCAGCCCAATACATACCACAGAGTAGAACTCTGCTCCATGGGATTTCTGAATCTGCACATTTTCATGGGATGAACCAACCTCCTCTTTCTCTCTCTGGGCTGGTGGGTTTGAATTCACTTCCTAGCACTTAACCCACGATACCACCAGGGTTTCCCTCCGGTAGAGATGACAGCTTAGAAAGCCCTCTGGGGGCAGTTCTGCTCTGCCCTGTACGGTAGTGACGAGAAGGGACTTGGTGGCACTCAGCAGCATAAGAGGTGCCCAGAGGTCCAAGGGTGCCACACAACAGTGAAACGCTCCACTTCTAGCCCAAAGGCTGGTGGTTCAAATCCACCCAGAGGCACCTCAGAAAAAAGGCCTGGCCTACCCGTTCCCCAGAGGCCGCAGCCTGGAAAACACTATGGAGCACGGTTCTACTCTGCATCCTAAGTCAGGATCCACTTGGTGGTAGCAACATCACCCTGAGGGGGTCCGTGGCATTTCTAGACAGACTGAGAAAGTGACTGTCTACCCAGCCGGTAATCACGGGGCTGGGTTGGTCCCCTGACAGTCCTATAGCGACCCTCGGAAGGACTGCCCTGGTGCAGGGAAATGTCTTCTGGGGAGGCAGCAACCTAAAAACCTCCCCCGCGGCCACCTTGTCTAGCTTTCCCGGGAACGGAGCCTTGTCTGGAAAGTTCTGCAGGAAAGGAGGTCTTTTTCCTTCCAGAACCTTCAGGGTGTGTTGCCCCAGATTTAAAGATTAATGGGGCCTAAAATAAATCACTGAAATGAGCAACATTTGCCTTTCCATCAAACACAAATAGCCTGTGGCCTGTCCGACAGGAGGGAGGGCATTGTGTCCAAGTTCACGCAGCGGTGACTGTTGGAGCTCAGCTTCCCTCTCGCCCTGTCTCTCAGGCCCAACTCGTTTGTGATCATCACGGCCAACCGCGTGCTGCACTGTAATGCCGACACGCCGGAGGAGATGCACCACTGGATCGCGCTGCTGCAGCGGTCCAAGGGAGACACCCGGGTAGAGGGCCAGGAGTTCATCGTCAGAGGTGACATCCGTGGTCCTGCTGTCAGGACAAACAGTACTGTCTTGTCACGTCGTAAATAATAACAGTAACACTGCTGTCCTGCTGTCTTACAAACATAAGTAACACTGTTCCTCCTGTTGAATACCAGTAAATAAAGCTGCCACCCCCAGGTTTTCTCTGCCCTCTTCACTGTGCGATATTCCCAGGAGAGAATTTCAGCGTTTCCACCTCCAGCATCTTTTCTAACCAGCTGAATCTTGACAGGACTTTTGTTTGGGGTTTTTTTTCCGACTTCCCCTTCCCCTTTTTAAATAATGATACAGGAAATAGGTTGGGTTATTTTTGGAGTCCCTGGGTGACCCAGAGGTGACCCTTGTGGTTTAATAGGTTAGGAGTTGAGCTGCTAAAACCTCAGGGTCAACAGTTCAAAACCACCAGCCAGCCAGTCTTTGGGAGGAAGATGAGGCTTTCAATTTCTGTGGAGAGTTACCGCCTCCTCAGAAACCTCCCGAAGCAGTTCTGTTCTGCCCTGTAGGGTCGTTAAGAGTCGGAATTGACTAGATGGCAGTGGGTTTTGCTTTACTTTTAGTGTGGGAGAGGTAGATGGTTAGGAGTTTAATCAACCATAAAAGTGGGCAGTTCAGACCTGCCGAGATGGTTTGGTGATCCAAGACCCCCCCCCAAGGTCACCTTGAAGACCCCATGGAGCCATTCTGCTCTACTCTGCGCCCATGGGTTCTCCATTCACTCCACAGCTGACTGCCACAAGAGGGGTCCCTAACTGATCTGATACCCCACCCCCTTACTGGGAAAACTTCCTCAGCACCCCTGGCAATGGAAACCTGTACTGTCTGTAGCCCACAATCCAGGACACAGTGTAGGTATCTGCTTTTGCAGCGCCCTGTGATGGGTCCCGAGCCCAGGTGGCATTGTGGTTATGTGTTGGGCTGCTAACCACAGGGCCAGCAGTTCAAAACCAACAGGTGTTCTGGGGGAGGAAAAAGACGAGGCTTTATACTCCTGTAAAGAGTTATACGCTCAGGCCAGAGGCAGTTCTACCCTGCCCCATGGGGTCGCTATGCGTCAGCAGACTCGATGGCAGTGAACTCAGTGGTTTTGGTTGTAGATCATTCCAGCACCCTCCAGGGGGTAATATCGCCCACACTGGGAAACGTACTACAACGTGATAGTTTGTAGCAAATGTGTAGAAATACAGCCCAGTTATATGTATCAGGCAAATTTAAACGCTATCATTTAGGTTTCTCTTCATAAAGTGCGTGTTCTTTCCCTCCTTTCTCTTCCTGTGGTGTAAATGTGCGTAGCCAGCACTTGCTGCGTCCCCTCTGTTTCCGTGGCTGGCAGGGCTGTTGGTGGTTTGGTGATCCGTAATTTCACTTTGTGCGCTCCTCTCTCAAGGGTGGCTGCACAAAGAAGTGAACAACAGCCCCAAGATGACTTCACTGCGACTGAAGAAGCGGTGGTTTGTGCTAACCCACAATTCCTTGGATTACTACAAGAGCTCGGAGAAGAATGCCATGAAATTGGGCACCTTGGTCCTTAACAGCCTCTGCTCAGTCGTCCCACCAGATGAGAAGATATTCAAAGAGACAGGTAACGAACTTGGGGCTTGTGAAGCCCGAAACCCAGAGGAGTATCCGATAGGGAGGCCAGAGTCCTGCAGAGACAACCCCTCGCCCCCAAGTTGCTCTTGCTGATGGATCTGAGGCTAGTTTTTTGAAACCCAAAAAGTTTGCTTATGGGTTTAGTATCCAGTGTCTGTTCCCCACCCCACTTAGCTGCAAACTATGCCAGGCAAGGTGGGCACACGTTCAGTGATCTGCAAACCTCATAGTGTGTCCGAAAATACAGACGGAAGGTACTCCTTTGCCAGGCAGGGCCTCGGGTGGTGGGGCTGGGGTCTGCTCACAACACCGAATGGCTGGTCTTCAGGGATCCAGCGGGATGGTCACGCATGTGCCTTGCTGTCCCTGCTGCAGGCTACTGGAATGTCACCGTGTATGGGCGCAAGCACTGCTACCGACTCTACACCAAGCTGCTCAACGAGGCCACCCGGTGGTCAAGCGCCATCCAAAATGTGACGGATACCAAGGCCCCGATTGACACTCCCACCCAGCAGCTGATCCAGGATATCAAGGTAGGAGGGCGGGGCCAGGTGGGGCAGAGTCTTGGAAGGAGCCCGCTAGCCTGACCTCAGGCTCAGCTTCCCTTTGGTGGCCAAGAGCTTGGCTCCTTCGGTGTTTTCATCTCTGCCCTCAGCAATCTCTGAGAGGATGGGTGACCCACAACTTCGTGTTAGAAGTGAAAATGGGAGGCAGCTTCAGAAAGTCTCAGCCCAGCGATAGACAGGTTTGCAAGGGAACATAACAGGAGTGAGCCTCGCACACGTTGGCATAACCAGTCATCGGAGGTCACGGGCAGCTTTCGCCCTAGGACAAAGTTCAGTTCCAATTCATGGCAACCCTATACAGGGTTTCCCAGGCTGTAGATCCCTACAGGAGCCTCCTTGTTCTTCCTTGGAGCAGCTGGTGGATTAGAACATCCGACCTTGTGGTTAGCAGCCAAATATATAATCCACAGCCCCTCCAAGCCCCTTTAATAAAAAAGAAAAATAAGAATTTTCCAAATACGGAACACTACTTTCTAAGAAATTATGCAAGTTTCCTTAAAAAGATCCAGGCTGTTGTTTCATTGTTGTTTATATGATTTTTTTTTTTTCCTGGCTTTTAATTGGATGTTATTGAAAAGGTCTCATTGTAGACATGAAATTACCAGCCTGGAATGATTCATTGCTCCTCCTCCAACTTTTTTGTTGGTTTAAAGCTCTAAAAGTCACCCTGGTTTTTCTCACTGCACTTAGCATTTCACAGCAGATATGCATGGTGGGGGGATTAGCAAGTGGCTGTCTTCAGCGGCCAGGGTGGAAAGGAAGGGTAGGACTTGGGGTGAAGGCCCCCTCCTCCCCGTATGGGTACATAAGTGCAGGACAGCGTTAGCGGTAGCAGCTGCATTGTGATTGCACTAAATCACCCCGAGTTGTTTTCAGTTAGTGGGAACATGCAAAAGGACAAAGAATTACAGAACTACCTTTTCCAAATTCGTATGATTTGGTTAAGTGATTGATGGCTAAGTAATTAGCAAAAGATGTGACTGTTAATGTGTTAAACTCAATGAATCTCTAGGAAGAGTCACGACTTATAGAGCCTGGAGAAAGGGGACACCCTCCCTGGTGGTGCCGTGCTTAAGCGCTGGGCCGCTGACTGGCCCAGCGCTGTGACCCTGGCAGCGGGGGGAGACACTGCCTGCACCTACAGTCTGGAGATGAAGTCAGACCCGACTAGCTGGTGGCAGGTTGGGTTTTGAGGTGGTGAGTTGGTAATGTGGAGAGACAAGGGAGCTTCAAAAAGCCTGTGGAAAACGTCCTGCTCTCTCTCCTTTCCATTTTCCCACCACAATTGAAGCACCTGGGGTGTGCCAGTTACGGGAACAGATGGCGCCACATCTAGGCTTCTCTGTGGGTGGGTCTTGGTGTTTGAAGTTGTCGAGTCAGCACAAGTTCTCTTCAGAACCACCTCCCCACATGGCAGGTTCCTAAGTCGTCCCAGTGATCCTAACACTTGGGGGTGCGTTTCTTTACAGAGTCCAATTCTTTCTTCTTTGCTCTGTACCTTTTCTCACTCCTTCGCTTTGCTTTCAATGTTTTCTCTTCTTCCCTCCTCCGCGACCTTGCTCCCAGGAGAACTGCCTGAACGCAGACGTGGTGGAGCAGATTTACAAGCGGAACCCCATCCTGCGCTACACCCACCACCCGCTGCACTCGCCGCTACTGCCTCTGCCCTACGGGGACATCAATCTGAACCGTGAGTGCGCATGTGCTGCCCCACGCGCGTTTACTGAATGCCCCAGGACGCCTTCCCAACACTTTTGCCCGTGTTATAACTCAGACTCCTGAGTCCTCCTCCGGAACGGAGGGAAACGTAAAACAGGCCCATTCCACCTAAAGCAAGGATTCACAGAGCGTGCATGACTACAGCAGTGCCAAGCCCCTCCAAGGATTGCTGCAGGAAAGGGAGTGTTTGTAAAGGAGTCCATGGAGCCAACGCCTCCACCCCAATGGGCATGCGCTCGCCCACACACACGTGCACTCAGAGGAGCTGTTCTGCACTAGTGTGTCACACTCTAAAATGCTTTCATCCCAATACGGAACCAGTTAGGCAGTCAGCCAGCTTAGCAGGACCTGTTGTTGTTCTGTATAGTCTCACTGGCATCGAGGTACTCAAAAGGACCCTCTAGGGCAGAGAACTGCCCCTTGGGTTTCCAGGGCTGTAGAAAGCTTCATCTTTCAGTCAAAGCAGTGGTTCTCAACCTTTCTAATGCTTCTTTAATAGTTTAATAGTTCTTCATGTGTGGTGACCCCCCCCCAACCATAAAATTACTTTTGTTGCTACTAACTGTAATTTTGCTGTTACGAATCAGGCGTCCCCTGTGAAAGGGTCGTTCGACCCCCAAAGGGGTTGAGACTCACAGGTTGAGAACCACTGAGTTAGAGTAACTGGTAGAGTTGAACTACTGACTTTGTAGTTAGCAGCCTAACGCATAATCCACTACGCCACCAGCCCCAGTGCGCTACACATTGGGTGCTGGCGACAAGGTCACCAGTTGGAAACCACCAGCTGCTCTGAGGGAGGAAAATGAAACTGCACCTATCAAAGATGCATCGCCTCTGAAGCACACAGAGGCAGTTCCACCTTGCTGTAGGGTCAGTGAGAGTCCGAATCGACATCAGGCTGTAATGTAAGCCTCTTGGCTTTGCATGGACTCCAGCTAACAGCAAGCCTGCAGGACAGAGGAAGTGCCTCACGGTGTTTCCAAGGCTATGAGTTTTTATGGAAGCCCACTGCCACTTCTTCCTCCCACTGAGGAGTTAGGAGCCAAATCCTCTCACCACGGTGCCCCCAGGCCTCCTTGCCTATCTAGGGAAGACTAGCTCTCTGCCATTTCTGCCCCTGGTCTGCAGCTCAGATTACACTTCCCTCTAGCCCTGGTTTTAAGTGCCCTGGTGGTGTGGTGGCGTACACACTGGGCTGCTAACCACTGGGTCAGCAGTGCAAGCTCCCCAGCAACCCTGCAGGAGAGGCGGCTGCCTGCTGCCTTAAAGATCTGTGGTCTTGGAAACCGCGCAGCAGCTCTCCTCTATACTGCAGGGTAGCATGAGTCTCATCAGGCTGGGCACAGTGGGTTGGGGAGATTGGCGGCCCCGGTGTGATGGCATACATTCTCTTCCCAGTGCTCAAAGACAAAGGCTACACGACGCTGCAGGATGAGGCCATCAAGGTCTTCCACTCCCTGCAGCAACTGGAATCCATGTCAGACCCCGTTCCCATCATCCAGGGCATCCTCCAGACGGGGCATGACCTCCGCCCACTGCGAGACGAGCTCTACTGCCAGCTCATCAAGCAGACCAACAAGGTGCCCCAGCCGGGCAGCGTGGGCAACCTGTACAACTGGCAGATTCTGACCTGCCTGAGCTGCACACTCCTGCCCAGCCGGGGGATCCTCAAGTACCTCAAGTTCCACCTTAAGAGGTAAGGGAGTGGGGTGAGAAGGGTGGGCCGCGGGCCCCACAGGACATAGCTGAGAGAAACAGGACCTCAGTGGAAGGCACTGCATGTGGGTCTTGGCCCTGGTGGCCCTGCGGGGGAAGGCAGGGACTGCTCACGACAAGGTCAGCAGTGCAAACCCACTAGCCGCTCCTCAGGAGGAACGTGAGGCAGGCTGTTCCTGAAAAGATGAGGCTTTCTAATTCCGTCAAGTTAGTCTCAGAAATCCCCCGGGGCGGTTCTACCCTGACCTACACGTTGGCTCAGTGGCAGTGAGTTCTGGTTTACCCCAGGTGAGGATTACAGTTTAGGAAACTCCAAGGAGGGCGGGGGAGGCATTCTAGTGCTGCCCTGCCAAACAGGGTCACTGAGTCCAAACAGGCTCCACAACACCCACCACTCCATATAAACAGTGGATAGCATCCTAGTGGCAGGGGTGATTGTTCCAGATCTGACAGGTGCAGTTTGACTGACTGGAATAGCAGGCCTCCATGTGGCCTCACAAGTGTGAGTATTCAAAGCCCTGCAGCAAAAAAATGTTCCCAAACATTGGCTCAAAAACTCAGTGGATGGAGTTTTTTGTTTTTTCCCCCAGTATTTAAACAGAATCAGGCAGTCTCCATGTTCGCTGTGTTCACCACTAGGGGGTGCTGCCACATCTTCTGCAGCATCTTGCCAGCCACAGCCCAGCTGTGTGACAGTCACTGTTTGTGCCTAGGATCCGGGAGCAGTTCCTGGGAACTGAGATGGAAAAGTACGCCCTCTTCATTTACGAATCTCTCAAGAAAACTAAATGCAGAGAGTTTGTGCCTTCCCGGGATGAGATCGAAGCTCTGATCCAGAGGCAGGAAATGACCTCCACAGTGTACTGCCACGGCGGCGGCTCCTGCAAGATCACCATCAACTCCCACACCACGGCTGGGGAGGTGAGCAAGGGCAATGAGCCCCGCCAGGCTGGCTGGCATGTGCAGTAGTAACAAAGAAATGAGTGTGTCCCCAACCACCAAAAGAACAAAATACGTATGGAAAGTGAGTAGAAACACATTAGCCTTGTACCAAAATCACGGAAACCTAGTCCTACCAAGTTGTGTGTCTGCTGTAAGTTGCAGACCTAATGCAGATCCCTGCACAGCGGCAAAGGTGCCTCATGCACCTGCAGCGAGTTGCTTCTGATTGTATGTGTCTAGAATGTTGTATCTATGTATCTATCTGTACATATGTGTCTAGAATGTTGGGCTAGGTGATCACTCTTCATTTCTTCCCCTTTCCTTTCTATACATCGTTTTATTGTGGTAAAAAATACCTATAGTGAGGCATTTGCCAGTTCGGTGTGTTTTCTACATACAATTGCGTAACACCAGGTGCATCCAATCACCATGTGGGTTGGCTTTTTTGTTTTCCATCAACAATTCATGCCCGTTTTGTTCCTGGCCATTGGTTGCAATCCCCACCCCGAAACATCACTTATCCTTTAACCTATTTCCTCCCGGTGTTTCCTGTATCTGTTCTTCCTCTTTTACGCCTTCTGAACTTTGTCCTGGGGCAAATGTGGACCCTGTGATCTCGCATGGTTAATTACTTAAGGAACTGGGTGTTCTTGTTCCTTTGTTTATAGACCTGTCTTGTTTTGCTGAAAATTGAGCCATCGAGTGAGTTCATTTCCAGCCATGAAAGGTGATCCAACCAGTAAGCCTGGTCTTTGGTGGGATTTTGAGTTTTTGTTTTAACTTTTTTGCCCTCCATCCAGGATCTGTTAATGACCCCTTTCAGAGGGGTCAACAATGGTAGCTGGGCACCATCTAGTTCTGGTCTCAGGGTCATGGAGGACTGAGGTTTAAGTGGTCCTTGGGCCCTCTGAATTATTTCCCTCTTGTGTCTCTGACTGCCTTCATTCTTCTTTGCTCTAGAGGAGGAGAAACCAATCATTGCACTTACGTGGCTGTTCATCCAAGTAAGATGGTAGAACATTCTTGTCCCAGTGGAGTGCATTGTGCCAGTTGAGCCTGGGAGGTTGCTTCCCGCCTTACTTAGACCAGCATAGGTTCACATGAGGCCCGGACAGCCTCACAGGCAGAGAGGGACCGCAGTTGAGGCCCCATGCTGTGTCCCTCAGGTGGTGGAGAAGCTGATCAGAGGGCTCGCCATGGAGGACAGCAGGAACATGTTTGCCTTGTTTGAGAACAACGGGCACCATGACAAAGCCATCGAGAGCCGGACCATCGTGGCTGACGTGTTAGCAAAGTTTGAAAAGTGAGTTGCTCCCTCTCAAAGGCCACCCTAGCCAATACCTGAATGAAGCACAAGGGAGGGGAGCTGAACTCCCATTCCATTGTCCTCCTGACTGGACTGCTACCTGGGCTGAAGTGTGAGCTTTGATGGTTCCCACATCTCCTAGGTAAAGCCTTCATCTGGAGTCTGGCTGGTTCTTGACCCTGCCTTTCTCCTGGGCCCTGCTGTACTCCATTACCAACTGGAGAGGCCCTCCTCGTTCTTAGCCTTGTACTTGTCATTCACTTTGAAACCAGGCTGATAGGCCCATGCCAAAGTATGGCCCTTTCAAGCCCCATTCTATAGCTCCTGAACCTACAACAAGGTTTGGGGTGGCACATTATTCAAAAGATGGGTGGTTCAAACCCACCCTCGCCACCACAGAAGGAAGGCCTATTTGCCTGTGTATAGACTCCAGCCAAGTCTACCCTGGGGAGCAGCTCTATTGCACAGCACCCGGGATGCCAGAAGGAGTGGAGTCGACTGGGTGCCATCGGGTGTGGGGTTTGGGGACCTACAGTGTGAGGGGAGCTTCAAAGAGTGCACGGAAGGAAGGTTGAATTAGAACAGAATTTTCCCATGGTCCCATTTTGAAGCCCCATCATGTGACTTAGGACTCTAAAGCACACACACACAGCCCCTCGTGAAGGTGGTAGGGATTTGAGGGCTGGGGGAAGAAGGAAGCAGTAGCCAGCATTTCTTTTCTGCCCGTAAAGTGTTGGACGCAGGGGCCTCAGAACGGGCTCGGTTAAGGGCGGCCGCTTGGCGCCTAAAGGGAGGCGGGGTGGAATCGCGCTGGTTTGTTTCGGTCACGGAGTCCCTGGGAGGTGGAGGGACCCTCCTGTTGGTGGTACCCACCGCCACCCACCCCATCACAGGGTACCTGGATGCCAGGTCCCGGGGTGGACTCACATAGCGCAGCAGCAAACGTAAGGGTTGGTGGTTCCCCGAGAGAACGCGGCCGCTTGGTGCCGGCCTGGCGTGTCAGCCGAGCGAGGCCGTCCTCCGACGTTGCGTCACCCGTCTCCTCCACCCCTCTCGTAGGCTGGCCGCCACGTCGGACGCGGGGGACGCCCCATGGAGATTCTACTTCAAACTGTACTGTTTCTTGGACACGGATCACGTGCCAAAGGACAGCGTGGAGTTCGCGTTCATGTTTGAACAGGTAAGAGCTGTGGGGACGCGACCCTCGCCCCCGGCGAGCCGGCCGCCGTCGCATGCACCGGGTGGCGCCGTGGCAACCGTGTCCCGGCATGCACCGGGCCGGGCCCTTCCGCGTTGGTAGGCGGGGCGCTGTGCGCGGCTGCGCACTGCTGGGCCGGAAGCTGCCCCTCCGAGGAGGAACCCGGCACCTGGGAATCTGGGCCGGGGTGAGGGGCATTTCTCTTCTCCCGGCGTAGGCTTGGGATCCTGTGTCCGGCGCTTGGGGAGCCTCCCTCTAGGTGGACCCTGGAGGAAGGAACTTGTCTCCCGGTCTGGATCCCTGGAGATTGGCGACCCCTGTCCACTCCTTCCCGGTCTCAGAGGGCACCTACCCTTTCCCCCTTTTGCGTTTTGGGGGAGGGCCCGGGGCTCTGTGCTTACGTACTGCACAGAGGTGATTGGATGTGGGGCTCACCCAGCCCCGACGGACCCCCGTTAATATAGCAGAGAGAATCCTGGTGTACAGGCGAGGGCTCCCACATAGGGGCAATCGATGTCCGTGTCGGGGACATGGTAGAGGAGGTTGGGGCGACCGAGCCCTCCCCTCACCCTGTGTCCTCTTTCAGGCCCACGAGGCGGTGATCCACGGCCACTACCCGGCCCCAGAGGAGAACCTGCAGGTGCTGGCCGCCCTGCGCCTCCAATACCTGCAGGGGGACCACGGCCCGCAAGCCCCCACCCCCGCCTTGGAGGAGCTTTACCCACTGCAGCGGCTGCGGGCCCGCATCAGCCAGTCCACCAAGGGCTTCACGCCGGCGGGCGGCGAGCGGCTGGAGAAGCGGCGGGCCAGCTTCCTGGAGGGGACCCTGCGGCGCAGCTTCCGCCCGGCTGTGGCACAGCGGCAAAGGGCGGAGGAGGAGCAGATGGTGGACATGTGGGTGAAAGAGGAGGTGTCCTCCACTCGGGCCAGCATCCTCGACAAGTGGAAGAAACTCCAGGGCCTGAGCCAGGAGCAGGCCATGGCCAAGTACATGGCGGTCATCAAGGAGTGGCCCGGCTACGGCTCCACACTCTTTGACGTGGAGGTGAGGGTGGTGGCCGAAGAGGCTGCCTGCAAACCTGTCAGGGCCAGGCTCGCCCACCCTCTGCCATCAGATGCCCCAAGTCTTTACTGTACCCACACTCTTCACCCCAACACTTCTCTCTGTGCCCTACTGCTTCCCATAATGCAGTGGTGGCTGTGAGGGCCAGACCTCGGAGGAACTGCCTTGGTTTTCAAGGTCACACAAGTTGTCCCGCCTTTGACAGAATCCAGTCTCTTGGGTTCTTTGTCACTCATCTGAGTGGGGAGAACCTGAACGTTTCCTCTCTGAAAGATTTGGCCTTTCTCAGCTTTTACTCTGGTAGGAGTGAAAGGAACATGAGAAAGCTGCTTCTTCCAGATTCGCTTCTGCTCTGCCTCAGGAGCTGTAAATAGTTCTGACTGAAGCTGCTGATAGAAAAAGTTTACATACACTGTTTGAGGGTGCTGGTAGCATAATGGGTTGTGGGTTGGACTGCTAACCACAAGAGCACCAGTTTGAACCCATCAGCCGCTCTGAGAGAGATGAGGCTTTTTCTGCTGCTGTAAGTATTTATAGATTCAGAAACCCACAGGTGCAGTTCTACTCTGTCCTAGTGTCCCTGTGAGTCAGAAACACTGTGGGGCACTTCTAGACCTTATAGTGTTGCTATAAGTTGGAATTGATTCAAAGCATTGCGGATATGTACTATATGCAAATTAGAAACTTGAGACGTAGTTATATTTTGCATTTTTGTGTTTTCGGCCAAGACCATGTGTTTGAAGGAAGTAATTTTATTTCATGGTTGAAATGTAACCGTTAGCATTCATCCAGCACTCCTTCATATTTTAAAGTAGACCCTTTCCACAAAGTAAATCACACTAGTTGGCTAGGTCCTCCCCACCCAGTACTTTCCAGGCGATGCCAATTCACAGCAGCCTAAGAGTCCGGGGCAACGGTCCCATGGGGTTTCTAAGGCTGGGCTCTTTCCCGAAGCATGATGCCACATCTTTCTCCTGTGGAGCATCCGGTGGGTTCGAATCACAGGCCTTTCTTTAACAGCATCAGGGCATTTAACGGCCGCACCACCAGGGCTTCTAGATCTTCACAAGAGCACAAAACCTCATCTTTATTCCTTGGAGCAGCTAGGGAATCTGAGCCGCCCACCCTGCGGTTAGCAGTCCAAGTGTTATCCCACAGCACCACAGGGCTCCTTGATCCTCAAATGAGGCCTTGTAAAATAGCCCCTATTACGGCTTTTCATCAGACCCTGGCTTGGTGGGTGGGTGGGTGCTCTCTCTTGCCACTCTAACAGATACACTACCAGTGGTGCAATTTTTTCAAGCATTTATGTTCTCATGGTTCAGAAGGCAGGAAGTCAATTCTGGGTATGGGCTCTGGGGAAAGGCTTCCTGTCTTGGTTAGCTTAGGAGGACTTGCCTTATCTTTCTAAACTTCTTGTAAACTTAATATGGGATTAACATCTCTCTCTTCTGCCTCTGCTTCTCAGAACATGTTTTTGTTTTTTTATATATATCTCAAAATGGATGGCTATTTTGCATTTTCGAGTTTTGGGCCAAGACCATGTGTTTGAAGGGAATGATTCTATTTCATGGTTGAAATGTAACCATTAGCATCAGTCCATGAACCTGGTGGAAAGACAACCCATTCCTCAGTAGGATGATCACCATAGGCCATGAATGTCCAGCATGTATGGCCAGGGTATTCAGTTCAATCCCCGGTTGTTGGCTGCTGATAACTGGTTCTCAGAAGTGGTGTATTATAGGTTTCCCAGGATAAGGAAAATCTTATTTACCAAGACTCATAGAAAACATTGTTTTTGTTGTAGTCATCTGAGTGACAGTTGCCAGAACACGTTAGTTTTCCATCCAACAATCTGCCCGTGTTTTGTTTTGTGACATTGGTTGCAAGGACTGGATGTTAGAGCACTTCTCCCAAGCTGTCCCTGGGCCCCCTGTCCCCATTGGTCCTTGCCTGCCCCTTTCTGCCTCATGAGCTTGGTTGCTGGGTGAGTCCCACCCTATGAGTGTAGAAATTAGATGCTTTGTGTCATGTCCATCCTCGCTGGATCGCTGATGTTGGTTTCACTGGTTTGGGCTGGATCAGCCCCAGGTTCTTACCCTCTCTCTCCAGACTATTGTCCCTCCCTCTCCCTAGTCTGCATGAACATCACAAAATCCCTCATCCCCACAGGGGGCCAGCGGAGCTCCTAAGAGAATCTGGGGTCTGGAACTGAACTCTGCCGTAGCACCATGTTCAGCTAAACAGCAAGGGAGTGCTAACACTAGGGAGGTTCACACGCCCAAGAATCTCAACCATGTGAGGTCAAAGGACTGTTTAAAAGAGGAGGAGGAATGGGAACAGGAAGTGGGAGAAGTCATGTGTTTGAATGGTTGGGTGGAAAGCTGGTGGCCTGTTCTATTAACCCTCACCCGGCTCCCAATGACAAGTTTCCTAGGGCATCTGGGAGTCTGAGCACTGGATAGAGGGGGCAGAGTTGATGGCTTAGGTCACCTGACTCCCCAGAGTTTCTCAGGAGGCCCTCCCCTGGGATGTTTAAACCAGGTCTTGTCCATGTAGCTAATGACAGTAACTATTGGCCAGATGACACGGAGGCCTCGTCCCTGAGCACACTTTGGCCAGCCTCATGTTCTGGATTGATCAGCCAGCCAGAAAACCATCAAAACGGCTAGAATGGATAGCGTTTCTAGAGTTCACTCCCCACCAGTGTCCATGCACAGCACAAAGACGGTCCTCTGGGCGCCACATGTCCACATGTTCTAACCCTCTGCCGTCGTCCCTCTCACCCACAGTGCAAGGAAGGCGGCTTCCCCCAGGAGCTGTGGCTGGGCGTCAGCGCGGACGCGGTCTCCGTGTACAAGCGGGGGGAGGGGAGGCCCCTGGAAGTCTTCCAGTACGAGCACATCCTCTCCTTTGGGGCCCCACTGGCCAATACCTACAAGATCGTCGTGGACGAGCGCGAGCTGCTCTTTGAAACCAGCGAGGTAAGAGGCCGGCCGAGGAAGCCCCAGCTGGGCAGACGGGAACAGCACCCTACTTTCTGCTGCCCTTAGACACGGGATTTTCTGTTAATAGTTCCCCTTGACCCTATGACAAGACTTGGGTGGTGGGCCCTCTGCAGTGGCAGGTCCTCCCATGCAACACCTGTGCTTCCGGAAGCCTCGTGTAGTCACCTTTGCGACAGAAATGGCCTTTGAGAGGCAAGGTCTCCCCTGTGGAGATGACAGGCGAGAGAGGCAGAGGAGAGGTTGTGGGTGTCAGAGCCACAGCATAACTGCACAAACCTAGTGAAGGTTAGTAGAAGATTCTGGTGGAGTTGTGGAGAAGGACTTCATGCTTGGTAAGATAGCAGGTCAGCGGGGAAGAGGAGACTGACCCTCCACAGGGTGACTGACACAGTGACTGTAGCAGTGGGCTCAAACCGTACAATGACGAGGGAAGGGTGGCCCAAGACTGGGCAGGGTCTGTTCTATTGTGCCCAGACTTGCCGAACAGACTCGGCACGGGGGATAAGGTGATGAACTCGGAAAATGGATACAAGTGCCTCACGGGAGGGAGCTGAGAAATGTGTTGGCAATTCTGGGCAGAGTCACCAAAACTCAATGTAGGAACTAGTAGTTCCCGACCCATCACAATCCTGTGCCCAAGAGGGGGAGACTTGTTTGAGCCCTTTGTTGTAGCCGTGATGCCATTTCTTGGAGGTGAACCAGAGCTTCCCACCATTGGGGAACAGTAGTGGGAATAGCTGAGCCCTAAGGATGAGCCAGTGAGGGAAGGGCCTTGGTGGGCGATCCCCGAACCCCGCTGCAGACTGCTGCCCCACAGGGTTCCCATGGGACTGGGGGTGGTGGTTTTACCAGTGGGCAGGGTTAGGCTATCTTCCCAGGGGCCCGGGCCAGCGATGGGGAGGGAACTGCCAAGAGGGGCGGGTGGCCAGCACCTTCTGGGAACAAGTGTGAGAGGTGTCTGAGATGGCGGCTATCGCGCTCAGGCCGCATAGCGTTTATTCAGCTGCGTGGTAAGGACAGAACGGGGTGGGAATGTGCCCTGGTGTCGATGGCTCCGCCCCTCGGCGCTGTCTGCTGAAATGGAGGTAGCCATCATCCCGGTGTCCGATGTGTGCCGTCCCACCAGCCCAGTGGCCGTTTCTCCCAGGCAGAACCAGCCGGGAGTGCACGCTGTAGCAGAACCAGCAGGCCGGGGGTGCGGGGTGGCCCAGCACGGCTCCGGGTTCGGGCTCTCAACGCCGTGTGGCTGTGCTTGTCCGGCAGGTGGTGGACGTGGCCAAGCTCATGAAGGCCTACATCAGCATGATCGTGAAGAAGCGCTACAGCACGGCGCGCTCCGTCAGCAGCCAGGACAGCGCCAGGTGAAGCGGCGGGCGGCCCCACCAAGCCGCCGTCCATCTGCCCAACCGACTGAGCACACGGCACGGCCGCCGGACTCTGCGGAGTCCCGAGCGGCTCCCGGCCCCGCCACCCTCGGCGAGCCACCCTCCTCACAGTCTGCACAATTTCCAAAGCTTTAGTACTCTTCGAGGGGCCGTGCCTTAAAAAAAGAACGAGGAAACATGAACCCCACGCTGCCGCCAAAGCAGCCCGAAGTGCCTTAACCCGGGGAACGCCACTCACGGGCCTTCCACTGATGCTATTGCAGGGCAGGAGCGAGCTGGGAAGGGGCGTGTCCGCCTCCTTACGCACAGCCCTCCCAGCCTGGCCACCTTGGCTGAGGGCTGGGGGGAGAGGGAGTCGTGGGGGTCGGAGAGGAGCCGGAGTGCTGCAGGCAGCCTTCCTGGACGCATGTTCACTTTGTTCTTGCATTTCCCATGGCTCGGTGCCCGCCTGTGTGCACGCATGCCATAAGCGCGCCCCCATGACCCCATCTCCCGCACAGTCAAAGCAGGGGTGGGCTGCGTGGTCTAATGCTTCCGAGCCCCAGCGCAGCAGGCCGCCCTCTGACGCGGGAGTCTTCTCTGCTTCCAACGGCACCTTTGGACAACGGTGTCTGCTGTCTTCTAAGCCCGCTGCACCTACCGGCCTCACCACCACGGCCGCCTGCAGCATCACAGAGTCACGATGGAGGCCGCCTTCTCAAGGAGCGGAGTCAAATGCCAGTACCTGGGTCTACTGGCAGCTTAGAGCTGGGCCATCTCACTGTATCGATTACAAGAGGGCCAGGTGAACGGTGGTCGGAAGACGCTGCGCTCCTTGTGGGAGCAAGCCTTTCAAGGACCCCGGCATGAATCGGTGAGCCCTGAGTAGACACAGCTTTTAGCTCGAGGTCGCACGGGTGGTCTGAACAAAGTGCCCCGTGCCACGCCCATGACCAGGAGAGAAACCTGCCGGTCTTAGGCATCTATTTTTATATGGAGAAAGCAATCGTAAAGGTTCAGCCAACCAAGTCTCACCACAGGGAAACAAAATTCTGCCTTAGCCCTTTTGGACAAGTGCGCAAAATCATGTTTGTTGGCTCAAAAGAAAATCTAGCAATAAACAATATTAACTAATGTGTCCTGTGTTTCCTGTATCATTAAAAAAGGGGGGACACAGTACCGATTGCTACCGAGTCTTGCCCAACACTGACTGCAAGGGGGCATGCGGGTGGAACAGGGTGCCGGTGGGTTTCAAGGGGAGACTTTTTGGAAATAGATGGCCAGGCCTTTCCTCCAAGAGTAGACTCACACCTCCAAGCTCTTAGTTGGCAACTGAGCCATATCCATGGGCTCCACCTTTGTCCCAGGCAGCTGGGGTGGGGGTGGGTGTGGGTGGGGATGGGGCTTTGCATTGAATGCTCTGAATTCAAGCATATCCTAGCTCTGTGAGTCCAAAGCAAGGTGAAACGGGGGTCTTTCTGAATCACATTACCCACTCTGAGTGCAGAGCACCCAGCTCGCGACTAGGCCTGCCCGGAGCACACTGCTAGAGTCAGGCCAGCACCCTGCCAAGCAGAGTCACACTCTGAGTGGCCAGGCACCCACCCCACCCCTCTGACCCAGAGAGTTCCCTCCAAAGGGCCTAGCAGCTCTGGTCCCAGTTCTGGGGTGCTGCTTCCTCAGGCAGGTGCTTCTCACCTTTCTAGCCGCTCTAGGGCGGTGACGTCATCCTGCTGTCAGCCTCTCCCCAGGCCCTTTGGCCTCAGCGGTGGGAAGAAAGGGGTGCCTTTGTTCTCCTTTCAGGCTCAGAGACAGGGTGGGGGCACGCAGTGCCCTGGTCACCGATCCCTACTCCGGATGCCTCCGGCTTCCACCTCCCTCCTCACCCCACCCCACTTCCCACACACCTGTTTGTCTTTAATAGAACAGTGGTCCCCTATAATACTTGTCCTTTTGTGTTTGGTTAACTTCAGTCAGTGTAAATGCATTCGTCCCATGGTGAGCTTCATCATCATTGAATGATTCGTAGTAGTCTATTGTGTGGGGGCCAAAGTTTGTCTATCCATCCTTTCACTGCTGGTTGCGTCCATCTTTTCACTCTGGTCAGTGGGACTGTAGTGAACATGGGTAGGAAGCTGTCTGTCTGTAACATGTTCTCTATTTCTGATACATGTCGAGTAGTGCCACTGTCAGATCACGTGGTATTTCTATTCTTAATTGTTTGAGGAAGCGCCGTACAACCCACCGTGGTTGTGCATATTTGCAGTCCCACCAGCCCCCATGAGAGTTCTAATCTCTACTCCTCTACTAGCCCCGTATGAGAGTTCTAATCTCTACTCCTCCAGCATTTGCTGTTTGCAACTTTTTGAAACTTGTTACCAATTCTGGCACGAGGGGCATCCCATCGTTTTGACTTGCATCTCTAGATGGCCCGTGATCGTAAGCTTTGCTTCCCATGTTGGATGGCCACCTCAATGTCTTTGGTGAAATTGTCAATATCTTTTGCCTGTTTTTCAATTGGGTTGAATGGGTGAAGCTTTCTGTAGCTTTTAGTCATTAGTCCCTTGTCAAATATGTCATCACCCAAAACTTTTTTCCCACTCTGTGGGTTCTCATTTTACTCTTGGTGAAAGTTTTTGACACAAGTGTCTTATGAGTTCCCACTTCTACCGTGGGAGAAAGATAGTCTTTCTGTGCCTGTAAAGAGTTACAGTCTCCGAAATTCACAGGGCAGTTCTGCCCTGCCCCATAGGGTCACTGAATCAGCATCAAGTTGATGGCAGTAAGTTTGGTTTTTTTATTAGTGCCCCAAGTTTGTCTCCTGTTGTATTAGGCTGGGTTGCCTAGAGAATCCACTAACACTCATCTATGAACAAGAAAGAACTCCATATTAAGAAGCAACTTTACATCAAGAATGCGTCCCAGCCCACTCCAAGTCCACAAGTCTGATGCTAGTAATTAAGTCCCTCTTCAGACTGGGGAGCTGATCACAGGCTGGTAGGTGCAGAGGCACGTGGATCCAAGGTTGGTGAGAAAACGGCAGGGTGCCAGCAGCTCAGTCGAGTAGCCCTGCATAGGGCCACCTCTCAAGGCAGACTGTTGCAGCAGGCTGAGGGGCAGGGAGAGAGCAGCTCCCAGTGTCTCTCTATAAAAAAAGCTTATGACACAAAGGGGCTGCCATCAGGCTGCAACCTGACCTATGAATTGAACTCCACCTCTAGCCAAGAGTGCCTCTCCCTGCCACTCAAAGGCACCCCCTGTGGGTTTCTGGGACTTAGCTGTTCATGGGAGTCAAAAGCCCAGTCATCTAACTACCACACATGTGCCTTGGACACGTTTTTTTAAAGGGAAACCAGTCCTTGGAAAAGGATGACACGTGAATTAAGTAGAAGGGGACACAAAAAAGGAAGGCCCTCACAAAAACCGATGGACACCGTGGCTACAACAGTGGGCTCAAACAACGAGATTGTGAGGATGGCACAGGACCAGGGCACCCCTCTTCTGGTCCTTGGCCTCAGCTACATGGCCCTATGGCCCCTAGGCCTCTGGCGTGAACAAGCAATGTTCCAAAGCCCTTTTAGCACTGCCAATAAATGCCCCAAAGTACTCCACTCCACCTTTAAGTCTAGGGGCACTCAACTCTGGCTGTGAGGATCCACTCACGAAGCTCCTCCTACCTAATTGTCTGAGGCATCCCTCAGGGCAAGCAAGACTCCTGCCCAGAGGCACGTTTTCCTAGCAGGGACCAGGAGGCCCACCACTCAAGTTGAGTTCTCTGGCACTTGGTTGTGCTGTGCCCCTTCGCTGCCACTCCTGGGCTCTCTCTGGTGCCGCAGCCCACCCTCCTGAAATGGGGAAGTTCATCCTACTGGAATTTCAGGGTCCAGATAACACATTTCCCTCCTGGGTCTTCTTTCTTGATGGTAGTGAGAGCCCCTGTTGCTGCTTGTAAGAGGGCTCATTTGAAGCCTTACGAAGATGACAAGACAGACCAATCACCGGACGTCAGAGTTCCATACACCCTATTTGCACGGACCTACCTCACGCAGGTTCCAAGTTACCTCATTTACAGTCTTAGCAAGATATTCCATCCCCTTGGTGGGCCACAAGCCCTCCCCACTTGTACCTCTTATTCAGTGATTTGATAGGAAGTTGCAGAGTGGCAAGAAGAGCCATGTCATGTGATTGGGTGTCCCACCATAGCTTAATGGCCAATTCTAATTAGAACGTTGGTGCTAGTTCTTGGGCAAGGACAGTAGCCCCTCATCCAGATACTGTCTCTAGGTGTTTCTGGGAATACAGCATGCCAAAAACAGAGACGGTGTCTGAGATGGTTCCTTAATACTCCACTAAGGATGAACGGTTCATTGACGGGAATGGAAGAAAGGAGTGAGGCTGGTGGCCTCTTAACTAAACCCAAGTGTTGCCCGGGACAGTATCCTTTTCTCACAAGGATGCTTCCCCTTCCTTTGGGAAGAGAGGAAAGGCAGTGAACAGGAGGCTTCCAGATGGCTGGTTGTCACAGCCAAGCGCATGTGCCCCAGGGTCCTGCCAGGCTTATAGCATGGAGGTCTTGAAATGGTTCTATTGCCGTTACTTTTTGTTTGTTTAACCCTGATTAGCACCTCTTCTTGGCTGAAAACCTTTAAGAACATAAAAATTAGGAGCGGTATTGCGATGGATTTTGTTCATCTGTGTTTAAACCTTTCAGGATAACTCACGCATGACTTGGACCTGCAGGCACCAAGCGCAGGCAGTTCTCAGGTTGCCTCATGCAGGTTATAGCCGACTGATTATATCGAACTATATTCTGGAAGGCAAATCCCTCCTCCCCCACTGGACCCACCCATGCAGTCCACTGAGGTGATTTGACGCATGAACTTGGCAGAGTATAGTTTTCAAGAAGTTGAGACTCTGCTGCTCAAAGAAATGTACAGTAGCACCTGTGGGTGATTTACCTCATTAGAGAAGGGCCAGGTGAATATGAAAGACGGGTTGGGAGAGTTTGGTTTTATGTCAACTGGTCTTGTTTCTCTCGAGAACCCAGCCTAACACGGGGGTGTTGTTGGTGGGGAAAAAGGCTCACTTAGTGAGATACAAAGGTGGTTAGCGTCCTACAGGACAATGGACTGTAACCATTGAGGTTAGCTTTCCTCCTAGTCAAAAATCATTGAATATTCTTTCTAGTGATTTCCTTTTTGGCCACTTGTCAATCTGTAACAAATTAACATCTAACTTTTCAAAGACTGGGTGACATTCAATAAGAGAAAACCAAGCAAAGTCACATTTTTCTAAATCCGGAGTCAGCAAACCCCAGCTCAAGAGCCCGTGTGGTTCTTTCGGTACAGGACCTACATGTGGCTCTGAAGTAACATTGAAAATGAAAATAAATAAAAAAATTTTAAAAAAGAAAATGAAAATAAAACTATCATAAATTTTTAAAGGGCCCTTTCAGATCATGGTGATTTCATTTGTTTGTAAAATACATAGGGCGTTTGAATAATTCTTTCATTGTTATGAGGAACAGGACTGGCTCTTCCTCTCAAAAGTTTGCCGATCCCTGCTCAGGGTGATTGTGTCTCTTGTCACATGGTCTCAGTCACCTTCCCCTCCTGGTGGCCCTTTGGCTAACAGAATGAAGCATGGCCCAGTCCTGCACCACCGTCTGAGTCAGGACTATTGCAGTCTTTCAGACTGTTGGGGGCTTGCTAATGCTCGGATAGGACACTGCAAACAAAGACAGTGCTTTACTTTCTAATCAGTTCCAGCGCACGGCACCCTGGTGAGGTTCGTTCCATTGGGAGTTCTGGGCCTGCCTCCTTGTGGAAACTGAGGACTGATGGGCCTGGCTTTGTGGCACTGCTCGCTGGGTTCGAACCTCCAAGTAATCACACACTAGTCCTTGACACCACCTGGGGGACTTCGGACAGGGGAACACATGTGATCATAGTTGTCAGTAGGTACCATCAAGTTGGTTCCGATCCATAGCAACCCCATGAACCCTGCCTAGTCCTGTGCCATGTTCATCCTGTGCAGGACCCCACTGTGGCAGCCATGGTGTCAATCCATCTCCTTGAGCACCTTCTTCTTTCCTGCTGCCCCATTACTCTCCCAAGCAGGATGTCCTCCAGGGA